TGCTTTGATGCTGGCAAACTAGTGCTGGAGAGCTTATCACACGCAACCCAATCAATTCCTCAAAGTGATTCTCTGGATAACAAAGTCATCTGCTCTGTTACTTGGCAGAACAACAAAAGAATGGGATAGAGTGAAGACCTGTGTATTTTTATCATTGTACTTAACCACAGAGAGAGAGAGAGATGGAACTTACTATGGAGCTAAATAGAGAAGCACTAAATGAGACAAAAAAATTCTACAATCCCTCTAGAAAAGGTTTAAGGGAATTCTTCCCTCCTACAAAAATAACTTAAAAAGATCACCAGGTTATACAGCACAGGAACAGAGCAGGGGGCTCCTCCTTGGCTCTCCAGTGTGTTTCAACTCAAGCCCTAGACTGCTCAGCCTAGAGGCTAAAGATTCATCCCATTTCAGCGCACAGCTAATTATCGGGAACTTCACAGAATTACAGAATCATGATTGTTGGAAGGGACCTCTGAGATCATCGAGTCCAACCTCAAAAAAATCCCAAAAAAACCCCAACAAAACAAAAACCACAACACCCCACCACATCACACCCATCCACAAACCCATAATCTTGGGCACTAGAGCATGACCTCAAGAGCCATGTCTGCATGTTTCTTAAATACCCCCAGGGTTGGTGACTCCACCACCTCCCTGGGCAGGCTGTTCCAGTGCCTGACCACTCTTTCAGTAAAGTAATTCTTCCTCATATCTAATCTAAACCTCCCCTGCCGCAACTTTAGACCATTTCCTCTGGTCCTGTCATTATTCCCTTGGGAGAAGGGGCCAACACCCACCTCTCTACAACCTCCTTTCAGGTAGTTGTAGAGGGCAATGAGGTCTCCCCTCAGCCTCCTCCAAACTAAACATGCCCATTTCCCTCAGCCTCTCCTCATAGGACTTCTTCATATGTGTCCAAAAAAAAGTAAATTATTGCCATCTGTAATTTGAGCTTTTTTCAAGTTGGAACAAGAGAGCAGCAGCATCTTTCCTGTGAAGTCATCAATGTGCTGCCATAAAATAATGCAGATCGATATGGATGCAGGTCCGCCCTGAACCAGATATGAATAATTTTGTATTCCAGTGCCTTTCCATACTGTCCCTAGCCATAGGCACAACAGACAGTTATGTCCTAAATCAGCAAATCCAATTTCCTGCTATCTCAGTCCCATCACTCTGCGTAATCCCTTTCATGATTAAGCTACTCTTGTTTAAAAGAACTCCTTGCTCTAAAATAGTGCAACTGCTCTTTCACAGCCCTCAGCACACAATCACTTGATTCTGCTGCTAAATAGATGAAAACATGTCTCTGATGCAGAATGTCACCGGGAAAGGAGACAGGAAACATGATTACTGAAATAGCTCCATGATCCAGTCCATGCCCGTCAGACACTGCCGCCCTCATGCAATAACGTCGTCAGAAATCTGATGGGAGCCAAAAGTTTCCATAAAAGTTAAAAGGAGAAATGAGACATGCAAACCAGAGTTCTGTTTGGGGGCAAAAAACACGGAATAACACACAATAATTACTCATGAAGCCAAAACTCCAAACGCTGAACCCCTTTGAAAACTCCCTTTTATTAAGAGACCCAAATGAAGATATATCTATTTCACCTGGCTTTTAAAACACTCTAGAAACACTGATTTCTAGAATTCTGTTTTCTGTTTTGTGAAGTTTTATCGATGTTGTTTTCCTTAATCTGCTCCGGACTTGGCAGAGGTAAATTTCCAATTAGTATTTTCTTTCTTTTTTTTCCAGAAGCTGTACTGCATCATAGTCATCACCTAATTTTATCAAGCGCCTATAGGTCAGGTATCTGGCATGTGTCATTTCACCTCTGAGAGGATATTTCCAGTAAAAGTAGTTTTCAGTTTATACTTAAGAATGGATGTTGAAATGACTCAAAAACTTCATGGTAAATTGCAAGTGAATTTTGAAAATCTGATTTGGCAAAGATATTGCATGTTGGGTGTGTTACGGTATGATAATCAGGAGCTGTCTGAAAAGGTGATCAGCAGTTCTTCAGTAGGAAAAGGTCAAGAAATGTAGCATGAGCTACTTTTGTAAATATGCTGGAATATAACTATTCTCAGACAGAGAGCTGTCAAGTTTTGTCTTCTATATGAAATCAGAACTGGAGCAATTGGTTTTGTGCACACGGACAATATTAGAACAGTGTTTCTCTCTATGAAGAGGAGAAGTAGCTCTGCTCACTTCAGGACAAGATGTCAGGATATCTGGAGGCTGATCAAAGCTCTGCCTATCACTCCCTGTGTGATTCTGGGATTCTTTCATTTGCTGCCTCTCACTCTGTATTATATGCAAAATTATTGTGAAACGTAATTCATTGCTTGTGAATGCTTTAAAATCTTGAAATCTGCAGTTTTGTTTTTCTTTTTTTTTAATTCGGATCTTTTCCCCGGTATTTTAAATTGAAATAAAAGGCTGGAAAAGACCATTACAATGAGCAAGTATAATCTTTTGCGTATCAAACACCTGATGATGATGATTCCTGGTTCCCATAGTTCAGTTTGGGGGATGATCCTGTGCAATGTGCTTTGGTCCTAATGCAATAAAATGTGCATGAATCCATTTAAGCATGAACCTTATAGTGATTGCACACCTGCTTAAAGCAAGCATTTGCTCAAACAGTTTGTGGATTGAAGTCCAAGTACTTGGAAACCAGTGGATTTAAAATCTGTAAGCGCTGTTATTTTTGAAAGTCATTCTCATTTGTAATCCTTGGAAGGTGTTTTTATACAGCAAATTCCAACACTGACTTTATATAACATTTTCAACAGAGGAAGGACCGAGTCTTCATTCGCACTTCCAACTATAGCAGCTTGCATAATTAAAGATTATACCTTTGCCTTTAAAGGATCTTTTATGCAAGTCAACACGTCTATCTTTAAGGAAAAACATGAACTCAAGATTGTAACATCTAACTTTATTTCACATTCTGAAGCTTCCAGAGTGCTTGCAAAACATTCCTTTCAGACATTGTTTAACCTAGTAGTTAGGTATCTGACAGCCATACTGGTTATGCACCAAACAATCCGTGTTTTTAATCTCCCAAATCCAGGGGACATAAAAAAGTGTTTTGATATCCAGTACAGATTTCAGGAGGAAAAAAAATACAGTACATTTAAGCTTCCATTTCTACATTGGTTGCTAAATATAATGTAATACAAGTAATAATATGCTGTGGAAAGTTCTACTGTAATGTAATGCACATTTACAGCCCAGGAGTAAAAATTTGCTCATCTAAAATGCTTTCACTCCCAAGGAACAAGCAGTTTTGGCCAGCTTGGCACACACCGTAGACCAAGTTACCTCTTCAAACAGTCCGCCAAACTCAACAAGCAAAGGGAGCAGGCTTGAATTCTGCTTTTCGTAGCCACATTAGAATAGGTGCCATCACCTACTCTAGAGCTAGGACATTATGAACACGCTTGTGCATGCAATGAAGTTCACCAATCTCAGTAAGACTCCACATGAAAAAAAAAATAATATATTATTAATGAATGAAATAACACAACTTTCTCCAGAGGACTATTGTTTTAATTCCGTAGCCTGCAACCAGCCAAATTCAGGTTTGCAGTCTTATCAGCATGTCCTCGGAGTACTAGAATCCATAGTGTCTGCAGTGAAATGCTCTGTAAACTCTGTAAATTGTTGTCCTTCTAGCAATGCCATATATCCTTCTAGAAGGGAAAATGTTGCACACTAAAAATAAAACAATGAAAGCCAGTCAGTAAATACATGCAAAATAATTTGCCTTTACAATAAGAAACGCTTGTGGTTTGCAGCAAGTAGCATTTGTAAGCTCAAAGTTTGTAGTCATATTTGCAAATTGGATGGTATTGGGCTGGAAGGTCACAGCCAAGAGATCAATACCAGTGCTTCCTGAGGGATGCAGAGCTCTGCAAAGGGATGCATGCTGTCAGTCTCCAAAAGTAAGATGTTAGGCATTTTGGCTGTTCTCAAAAGCTGCTGAACCTTTGTCCCCCCCGACAGAAGACAGATGAGGATTTGTTCTCTCTACAGAAGCACAGGACCAGCCCCTCAGAACCTGGGGGAGTCCTGTGGCTGGTAGTTGCCCAGCCCTTTTAGGATCAAAAGGCTTATTTGTAAGTGAGGAGTAGGATCGCTCCTCTACTTGTGGAAATTCTTTACCCTTTATTTGAACATGAAATATTTAACAGGAAACTGATACAATAAGACTTAAATCAGGCCCCAATTGCCTGTGCTGTTTCCAAATCCTGCGCTTCTCATGTCAATGTAATTAGTCTCCACTAAGCCAGGGGTTAGCCTGACACGATACATATATAACAGTCAAGAATATACGCCAACCTCAACTAAATATTCCATCTTTATCTTCATATTTCAACTAATTGTACAATCCCAGTATTCAGCCCTAGATGTTTAAAATCTTGCTTTAGTGAAAGACGAGATTTCGGTGAATAACCTGCCAGGAAGAATTAAACGTTGGTACAATTTGAGAAATACAATTTAAAATAAGGAAATGAGTAATCCCATAGCAAAACAGGAAACTTAATTTAAAAAATAGTTGTCATTCATGCTGCTTATCTTGATAACCAGAACTAGAAAAATGGAAGATGAGGAGGTCTGCTCCCATACAGCCTTACTGGGTATTAAAATGAAACTACCTGTTCTGCTGGCTCCAAACAGAAAATTCTTTATAATTGTTACCATGCAATTCGTATGTTGTTCAAAACCGCATGGAGCTTGGTACACTTCAACATTTTTTCCATACTGTGGAGAGAATTTTATAGAAGCAACCCTAACATGGAGTCTTTTAAGATTCTCCACAATCAGCAGAACAGGATGTCTCTGACCACAGCTGGGACTGTGATGTTAAATACTCTACAAGGTCTGGGTCTAAGGTTCTTCAGACAGAAGCTGTTCTGTGGCTATAGGAATAAGGCGGGTAATGGGAGGTGTTCTCTTAAAATTTACCGTCCTTGAGAAAATATATGAACCAGGATTTATTTTTTTTTCTTAAAAAAAAAAGAATGAACAACAGAACAAACAACAGAATAGTGAATTTTGCAGAAATGTGTATATCAGTAACCCTAACTGATCTCTTTTTTCAAGAAATGATTTTGTTTTAATGTGGCAGAATTTTCTTGTTTTTAAAGTAAAAAGTACAATGGTTACAATTAAAGATACAACACTATAAATATGCAAGCGTATGGCAGAGCAGTAAATTAGAGCCAGCAGTGCAAAGACAAGTGATCCCTCGGACAGTGGGATATTGTGCTCTAAGTAACCACCGTTGTTGGGTTCTCATACCGCCACTCGGCATTGTATGTCCCCTCCGCAATGGCAGCTGGAGACTTCTCAGAGATCTTTATCACACACAGAAAATTGTTGAGATGATTGAGGTTCCTCCTAAAATACGTGTGCGTGTTTGCAGCCAAGGACCCACCTCAGGAGTCTGGGAAAGCTTTAATGATGGTTTCATAGGCGGGAGGGGGGGTTTGTGTGGAGTGGCAGATGCGGAGGTTGTTGTTAGACCAGTGGAATTCAGGTCGACTTAAGCTGTTGGTGGTGCTTCCCACCAGGGTCGTGGTGGTGTTTGTGGGAGTGAGGGTGATGAGCTGACTGTTCGTCTCCACGGGGAGGGGAGGACACTGCAGGAAAGGGTGGAAGGTGGACGCACGGAAGCTTGACTTCCTGGGGAAAGAGTTGGCTTGTTCTAAGGAGGCTTGCCGCTGGAAGGTGAGGCTGGCCAGGCTGAGGTTGCTCCGACGTTCACAGCTGCTGTTGCGGTAAAATCCAGTCCTGCCAGAAGTTTGGCCATGGGAAGGAGGCCTGGACCGACGGCTGAAGGCTGAGGAGCTCCCCTGGGAAATGTGGGCGCTAGCTCTGCGACGGGACAAGCAAGTGAACAACGCCCAGATGATCCCTCCAATCACCAGTCCAACCGCCATGGACACTGTGAAGGCTATTGTTATCTGCTCTGAAATACAGCAAAAATACACAGCAAAGTTATTTCCTTAACTCAGAAGGATTTTCCTGCCAGAAAATGAATTGAAAATGGCAACTTCCTTAGAAGATGAACAAACCCAAAAGTTTTTGTATATAATACATGAACCTTACAACACAAACACAGCATATCAGGTTGCTCTCACTATACGGTGTTTTTTCTTTAATTGCGTAATTCAGCAATATCCAGAAAGTAGCCTGCATTTAATACCAGTTTCTCTACGTGTCCTGGTTTCAGCTGGGAAAGAGTTAATGTTCTTTCTAGTGATCGCTGTGGATGCAATGTCAATAATGCATATTGGTTTAGTTGTTGCTAAGTGATGTTTATGCTTTTCAAGGACTATTTTCAGATTCCCACAGAAGCTGAGAAGGAGCACAGACAGAACAATGGAAAGGCCAGTAGAAAATTCCATACCATAGATGTGCTCAGTATATAAATGGGTTTGGCCGGGGTGGAGAGGGAATCCACGATCACTGCCCAGGATGGTGCAACTTCACCAGGTGGTGAGAATGACTTGTGTCATTGTTATTATTGTTATTGTTATTTTTCTTTTCTGTTATTCTTCTATTAAACTGTCCTTATCTCAAACCAGGAGGTTTTTCCCTTTCCTTTCCTTTTCTCCCTCTTCTCCTCGCCCTTCTGGAAGAAGGGGAAGAACTTCATAAGCAGCTGTGTGGTCCTAGTTGCCGGCTGGAGTTAAACCATGACACAAAGTAAGGGAAAAGTCTTCAGTTTCTCTCAGAATCAGCCACCCACCAGCCCCAAAATGGGCTGTAAAACTGCCAAGCATTTGCTTCTGTGAGCAATATGAGGTGTGGATTTATGCAGACTTGTCATTCTGTTTATGGACATTTATGTTCCATGTGTACATGTTTGCAAACTCATGTATTACAATAGTGATGTAGTTTCTGCCACATTATTAATGGAGTAAACCTTGTATTTATTACAACACGAGAACACATCCCAGCCTTTTACTGCTGAGTAACAGGTACTGTAAATCCTCACAGAAATTAATGTAACTTATGATATCCTAATTGATTATGGTCAGAGATAACCACTAAGTCTCTTGATGACTGTAACAGAAGGCAGTAACTCTGGGACCGTGATGAAGATGTTAGAGCTCAGAAAGGGCAAAAGAAGACTAAGTTCAAAATTTTCTTGCAAGGTAACTATTAAAATGTTCCCCCTTAACTTGTGGTGCTGGACAACCAGTCATTTCCAGAACCCACAATAATGACACCGAGACTGAGCTGTGGGATTTAATCAAAGCAGATGCTAGAGAGGCAAAGAGAGTAAGTGGCCCGAGAGATGGCTATGGAGAGCAGTCAGCACACAGGAGGGAAAGGAGAGGTGCCAGGCATGGCCAGTGGGACTGGCTTGCAGGCAGAGGTACCCAGTATTGCACCAACAGATATCTTTGCTTAAGTCATTGGGTTCCTAGCAAGGTTCCTAGCAAGGCTTAAACTTAGGTCACTGCAGGAGGGGGAAAGCAAACATTTGCTTTCCTTCCAGCAGGGGAGATATAAATGATTATTGGTATAATTGCACTTTAAGAATTAGTTATTCTTACCTTCCTTATCTATTTTCTTACTTTTCTCCCTTCAGTGAAAAATTGTTAGCTGTGTGATTCATACTTGCGGTTGGGGAAAATTAGCTCCTTGAACACTTGAAAGTTTAGCATAAAGATTTCCCATATTTCTGGGTAGGGATGCCAAGCAGCATTAAATCTGAACCCAGCCCTTGCTGCTGCCCATCAAGCCCTGTCAGAGGAGCAGTACATTCACCCTACATCCCTTTACAGGTGTGGTTCTAGACAGGTTCAACATTATCATGAATTACTGACATCACCATGAATCTCCTACCCAACTTTATTCACCTCACATTTTTTCAGAATAGACTTGGTGTTCCATGAGGTCCAGAAAATTTAAGCTCTAATTAAGCCATTGATATTTTGGAAGGCTATACAGTCCTACTGTTGCTTTCTTGTAATCTCTGTTTTCATCTAGGCTTGTAAGCCTTTATAAAGCATCTTCAGAAACACAGCAGGCCTTATCATGTCCCTTTTGGTCAGGAGTAGCCTATCATGCCATTTTAATGGATTTAATGCATTCTGTTACTGCAAGTTCCTACTCATACTCCTGAAGGTGGGAAGGGAGAGCCAGGACTTTACCACCTCCAGTTGAGCAAATCATAGAATCATTCAGGTTGGAAGAGACCCTTGGGATCATCGAGTCCAACCATCTACCCTACTCTACAAAGTCCTCCCCTACACCATATCCCTCAGTACCGCATCTAAACGTCCCTTAAACACAAAAATCCCAGGTGGTTTCCTAAAGACAGCCCTTCCCAAGCCCTAGAGCTGCAGTCTGAGTCCCCCTGCTGCTGTCCCAGCACGGCTATGGGAAAGCAGAGCAGGAACTAATCCTTTCTTGGGCTGATTTCTTTTGCACCTCGGCTGGAAAGCTAGTTAGGCTGTTGCATATGAGACTGCCAAGGGATACCCCAGGCACAGGGCTCTGGGCTGCCACCTGATATCCCTGCTCCTGTTTGGGTGCTCAGCAGGGAGGAGGCAAAGGGGATTTTGGAGGGGCTCAGCAGCCTCCTCCAGTGCAAGCAGAAGCACAGCAAGCCACACAAGCATACCTGGCTCGGGGGTTGCCATGCGCCATGGTGAGGATTTGTCCCTGCATCCCTCTAGCCATGATTTTCACCACCTGCACAATCAAATCAGCATTTCGCACTGTTAAAAGCAGATGAGGGAATCGACAAAAGTATTGAGTGCAGCTCTCCTGTCCTTCCCACGTGCTGTTCCCCTGTGCTGGATGTACAGCACAAACAATTATCCCTTTGGATGATGTCTTCATTAACTTCTTTGATTCTTTTATTTTTGTACCTCTGTATATGAATGTAAAAATAGAGGGTCAAATTATTCCCTGGGGAAACTCAGCTGGCTTTACACTGACTATTGTAGTTGCTATATAGTACCCCAAATGCTCTCATTTCCATTTGGACCTACATTTAATCCTTTTGGTTCTTGTTATAGAAATATCACTGGACCCATTGGTTACAGAGACACTTTATTCTTTCTACTCCCAGACTCTCCCTAACTCCAGTGGGAGCTGTGGGTCACACTAATAGGCTGAACTTGCTTTTTATTCACTCCCTGCAGAGGATGAATTTCACTGAAATGTAATTCACTTCTAAAAATTTACGTTGAAGAATTGTAAATCTATGCCCATTGATTTCCTCTTTAAAATGTCCAGGTGATCACAGCCCTGAGGTACATTGGAGAAAATACTACCAAACAGAGAAAAAGATCAAAGGCAGAGTGGGACTTGCTGCACCTGGGATTTTGAGAGGAACAGCTGGCTTTCACAGAGTTGTTTTTCTCTTAATCTGGGCAGTGCCAGGGCAGAACTAGCCTTGCAGGAGAGTCAGAGCAATAATGACATGGAGTGTCTTCCAAGGAGACATTATAACATTTTATGGTTTCCTGAGAGCTGTGCATGTCATTCTGTCTGTTGCTTTTAAGAAAAAAAAAAAAGTTTATATTTGGGGATAAAGTAGGGACGCTGCCAATAACAATAACTCCCCAGGCACTGGTCCCCTAAATACATTTTGATCTGTGTGTTTCTCAGGCTGCTCCCAATGCCTGCTTTATTTGATTAGGCCATAACCAAAAACATTTGGTACCCCATCTCAGTCAATTTTCTCCACTCTCACCTCTAACACCAGCTGAGGAGAAGGACAAATATTTTTTTTTCAACAATGTAGGACAGACTTGGCAGTCTCTGGATCAACCAAACCCTTCATAAAAGATTTGTTTCTTGTGGTGGAGAATCCTGCCTTTATCATGGAACAGGATCCTGGCAGACATAGTCAGGTCAAGCTCTTATTTCTGTGAGGGTTTCATTTTCCTTTTATGTGTATGGACCACATCAGACAGCAAGACATTCCTTTTGAATTCAAAACACGTTTACATTGGGGTTTCATTTTGCCAAGGAATCTCCCTCTTGCCCTGAGCTCTGGCTGAGACAGGCTGGAACAGCATTTTGCTCCCTGAACTCAGGAAATCTTTGGTACTTGCATCTTTCCTATAGTCTTATCATAAATTCCCCAAGACGTAAAGTTAGGGTGGGCAAAAGATCTTCCCGTCCCCATGCTCACAAATGTATATATTTGTAAACTTTTCAGCTGGACAAGTATATGAAGGGATAGTTGTACCTCTCAAAATCATTAGCAGTAGCTTCAATGAGAGCATCTCAGAGAAAGAACCAGGGTGGGGTGAGGGAAGAGGGGACCAAATACTGAATGCAAAGGAAAGAGAAATGGAAAAGCATCTTTTAGTCAGGCTGTGCACACATGACTTGAATTTGAACTGCATATTTGCCAATAATAGCTAATAAAGCTAACAAAAAGTCAGTTACCTTTCCAAGCATCTGTTCTGCTCATGCTATTGCTAAGCACAAGGAGGCAGGAAACATCGATAGGGTGAGATGATACCTACACACTTCATTTGATTTCTAGTGGGTGACTTTCAAATACGTATGTTTTGGAGCTGTTAATTTTTTGTTACCATTTGACTAAAAGAGAAATAATTCAGTAGTTTTATCTTAAAGTTATTAGAAGTGGTAACGTAGCTTGTCAGTCAAGAATAGTATTGTTCAGCCTTCAGACTCAGCTTGCTATAGAGATGGTTTACTCATATTGCTTTAGAGCAAGATTCTGTTCATTTACTTCAGCAACTGAGAGTAATCTTCCCATTTCTCTTTTCTCCCACCTGCCCAAAACTGCACACCTGAAATGCAACCTTTATTCCATGTGGGCTCCAGAAAGCTTGTATGCAGAATGCACAAGGTCTTTGATCTCAGCTGCATTAACAATGAGAAGTGTCAGTACTACCATGTTGTGTAGTGGAAAAGAACTATTCCTGTAATTTCAATCAAAATTTTAGAATTCTAAATTTATTTCCTTCTCACATTTTTATGCATTTTCTTTCCTTTATGTTGTCATATGCCAATGACTCAAAACTTGTCTAAGCTTTCCTCCCCCTACACGCACACACACTTGTACACATGGACATTGCCTCGTCCCAAAGCTGAAAAGCCTTAACAGCTGGTTGTGGGTTTGATTTCAGACATGGAGAAATCGACCTCAGCCTCTGTCTCACCCTATATTTTTTTCCCAAATGAAAGCTCAATATAAAAGCCATACAAACCAGTATGGGAATTCATACCTGAACGTTGCACAGCTTAACATATAGCACCAGCTAGTGTATTAAAGCATGAATTGCGCTTACAAATGACAATTCAAGTAACCCAACTAGTAAGAATGGTTCAGATACTGTTTTACAGCAGTCTCAATGTCTTGGGTTTCACGTGAGGTTGAGGTAAGTCATCAGTGGATGTTCATAACACAGCCTGATTTGTGCAAACGAGACAGGAGCAGCCAGGGTCCATCAAAGTTTCAATACACTCATAGCACCTTCCCACAGCTGTAGCAAATATACATCACTAAGCTGGATAGGCTCCTGCATCCCGGGCAGTGAATTTGGAAAGGAAAAGGACCCTGGCCCCAGAGAGCCACCATTTTTCCCACCACAGAAAGTTTGAAGTGATTTGAACTGCTTGAAATTTTATGCCAGTTCTACCAACTCCAAGAAAACTTATTTTAAAGCTGGGGCTGGTTTCAGTAGCCAACTCCTGTGCTTCTGTTGTCATGCTGAGTTCAAAAAGCAATTTCTCTGTGTCTGACAAGTGTTGACGTTACTATCTTCTCGATCTTTGTCACTAATTGTATTAGCAAAACAGCCTCTCATTTATCATTTGCAGGCAGCCCATGATTCAGTTGGGTGGGCGAATCAGTTGCTGTGTAATATCAACCAGCTGTGATCTTAGTCATGGCAGAAGTTTAAGAAAGGTCACACAAGGCTCTTGTGGAAAGAGTGAGAGTGGCAGGCTACAGCACAAAGTGGTTCAGGTAGTTGTGACGTTCAGAAAACAAACAGACAAGTATGGTGGCATCTGGAAGAAAAAAAAATCTGTGGGGAAAAAAAGCGGAAAGAAAAGCAGACAGTGCAGGACATGAGAACTGATCAAAAAAATTAATAAGATATTTAGGCTGTCTGAAATGTCAGAACTTTGCATTAAAACACAGCTTGCTAGAGAGACGTGCTAGTGCAAGATTCTTTTCTGCAGCAAAGGATGGTAATTCTCCCACTCCACCTAACAAATAAGCAGTTGCTTTTATTTCCACTGCAGATAAAATAAAAAGTATTGGGTTTAAGAAGTGTGGTTTTATCTGTGTGGACAGGTAAGAACTAGAATAGATAGTCCAGGCAGGAGGTTCATCTATCACCATTAAAGATTTTAAAAACCGGTATCAGTCAAGTATTGTTGTAATATAGTTAATCCGGTCTTGAGAAAAGAAGGTAGAACAGATGACAGTTCAAGGCCCGTACTGACGCTATTTTGGCAGTTTCTAAGACTTTCTTCGATCAGGTAAGCAAATAGGCTCTGGAAGCATCTGAAAAATTATTAAGTAAATGACAAGGTAAAAAAAAAAAATGCAGTTTGTGCCCTTGGATTAATACTCTAAAACGCAGAGGGGACAGCTGTTTGTTAGAGGGTTAACTTCACAAAGAGCCACCTACCTAGGAACAAGATTGCCCTCTGCTGGAAATTTATGCTGAAAATCTAAACAGTACATAAAATACCTCAATTCTAATAAGGTGTCAAGAAAAGCTAACGAGAAGCATTCCAACAAAGATGACAGAGAAGTTAATAGTACCACAAAACTCAGAAAACCTCTGATAAACGCTTATGATGAACATTTTGCAGCAGCTTTGAAAATAAGGTTGACCAAGGCAGAGCAAAGGTGTTCAGAAGTTTAATGAAAGCTTGTACAGACTTGTAGCTTTGTGCAAATATCTGGGCTGATGGAGAAACATGAGGCTAAGTCTGGTCTTAAATTCGTATTTCTCGCCATCCACAGTGATGTCCAGAATGATATCCATGCACCAGACTACTGCTTTGTTTACTAATGCCATAATTCAATGTGATAAAACACCAGAAGAGTGGAATATGCTGTCTCAATATCCTAAAAACCAGCTCAGAGTTAACGATGTTCCCTTGATATTACTGGAAGTTGATTTTTACTGGAATGATAAATAAAGAGTAATTGTAATAATCTAAGATAGAGATGTCAGCGTGTTTAATTTAATGCCTTTGGCATAACTGTATAACACAAAGCAAAGATTCCTTTATGCAGACAGAGATAGAAACTTTGTTACCACGTGGTTTCATTATGATTCCTAATGCATTACAAAGACAGTAATATAATTTTGATCTTTTCCGCATGTGCAGCAAACAATCCTCTGGCAAGGCATTCTTACCAACCTCACAAACCAGAGCTTAGGCCTAAGATATATTGCCCCTGCATGAACCTAAATCAAACAGTAAAACACAATTTGCCACAGTGCAATATGGCACTGTAGTTATTACTTAATTGATATGACTATTTTACAGAGCCTGCGAATGGAATCATTTCCTATATGAACAGAGCATGAGTGGCTGGAGTGAAATCTTAAAATTAAGGATGGTTTCCTAAAACTCTTAAAATTAATGAGGAAATGCCAAAGTAAGTATGCTACATTTAGGAAAACATAAGACATTCAGGGTTAAAACAAAGGTTTTTAGGTTACCGGGAGGACTGT